AATACTATTAAACACAAAAGTCAAATTTTAAAATAAGTAAAAAATACTAAAAAAATAAATAAATAAATAAGAAAAAGTTGATTTGACCAATGAATACTAAATATGACAGATAAAATGTGACAAATGACGTAATAATTAGCACGCATTTTTTATTTTTGATTTTTAAAAGCAATCGCATTATTTTGGACACCGCATAGAGAGAGAGAGAGAGAGAGTGTGTGTTTAATGGATGCGGCTCACCTCTAGCTAGGGGCTACGCGTTGACTAGTCAATTTTATCAACCTAGCTAGTAGCTAACCCCTCTTTATTTTATTTTATTTTATTTCCATATATTCATGAACAAAGATTGACATAATTTAATTTAATAAAAGTTATAAAATAAATATGTTTTGTTTCAAATTTTGAGTTATGACTTTTCTGACAAATAGTACTCGACGTAGTTAGAAAATATTTAATATAATTAATTTTTATAAATATAAACTTGTTTATATTAAGGGTAATAAACATAAAGCCAAAATTTAATAAAGCTGCTGACAGAAAAATAATAAATATACTCCCAATGCATGCAATAATTGTTAGAGCATCCATATCAGTTGGAGATATTAGGGGAGAATGTAAGAGTGAGTAGGAAAGAGAATAATGTGGGAGGGGAGGGAAAAAAAATCAAAATTGATTTTATAAAAAAAATATATAAAAAATAAGCATGTCATTTCTCTATTGGTTCTCTTTCCTCCATCATTAATTTTTTTTCTTGGGCAGAGTAATATCCCAACATTTGCAGATGCTCCCCACCCCTTCTCTCTCTTGATTCTCTCTCTGCCACCATGACATTTTGGCCTCAAAAGTAGTGAATTCTCCCCCATTTCTCCTTTGATGTAGATGCTCTTATCTCATACGGACTGTAGTTCGTAAAAGTTCGTGTCAACAACTCAATATAAACATATGTGATATACCATTGGCTAAATATTCATTTCATTCTAAATTTGTAAAAATTATATCATGTTAACAAATCTCATATCAGTTACTATAAATAAAAGATGGTATAATTTTTTACAAATGAAATAATAATTATTTTAAAAAAAGTAATTTTCTTTATATTTATAATATAACGTAAAATTAAATATTCAATTGGCAACCACGAAGGGAAATTTATGGCAGCCAAGAACGGGCGTCTGAACTGTGACCAGGATCCCTTCACAGCGAGGCTACCGCGATTAAGGAAGCGCTCAAGTGGTTGCTCAGCTTTGGCAGAGGCAATTTGATTATAGAAACGGATTGTTTAAATTTTTGCAAAGTTTTCAATTCCAGTTCTTTAGATTTTTCTTATGTTAATTCAATTATTCAGCAATGTATTCTAGTTGCTAATGACATCGGGACCGTGTCCGTCCAGCATGTCAAGAGATCAACTAATCAAGTAGCTCATGCTCTAGCACGGGCGACTGATTTCAGGACTGACTCACAGTCGTGGGTTGATAACCCACCGGGGTGTATTTCTGCTTTGCTTCATCATTAATGAAAGTTCTTCGTTTTGCTTCAAAAAAAAAATGAAAATATTTAAGTGAGATAAATATGAGTTCTTAAAAAAAATCTAGATTTGTTGGATAAAAGTTTGGAGTGTCGAGTCTAACATCTTGTCATTAAAACATGACGTTGGCTGCAATGTTACAGGGGTAGATCCAAAAATTTTGCCAGTGGATGGGGGCGGAAAAATAAAAACCAATGAGATATTAAAAAAAAAAAAAAACAAAATACTTAGAGTTGAGCCATCAATATTGTTGACTATGGATGAAAAATTAAAATACAACAAAATGAGATTAAAAAATATTCAAAATAAAATATAAAATATAATTAATTAGATAGAATAGTTCGAATAGAAAACATATAATAAATCACTCATATCACTATTAATAGTAAGAAACAAGAAAAGAAACACAATGTTACAAATAAAAAATTTGATTAAAATTAGAAATTAATCTTACTATTAATATTAAAAAAATGCCAAAACCAAAATTTCATGTCGTAGGATTCGAACCCTTTAAGTATTTATAAGTTAACTATGTATATACAAGGGACCTATACATATAATATATATATATATATATATATATATATATATATATATATAAAGGATGGGATAGAGGAGTGGGGGAAGCTACATGCCCCCATTGCTCTCACTATAGATCCGCCAATTGCAAATTGCAATGTAAGTATAAGGAAATAAAGTTGCGCATTAACTATATATGTTGTGCAGTTGGGTTAACGTCACAAGAGGTTATGTGTTGGGCTATGGATTGGAACGTAGAGTTAAGCATCCTGCCATCAAAACATGATGATGATTGATACACAAGTATACGCAAATAAAGTTGCGCATTCTCTATTATCTATAACTTAACGTAACTTTTGGCGTAGTGATAAACGTTCGATCCTAACATCATGGTCGATAGATTTTGCACTAAGACAATTGCATCAAGATAGATCGTGGGTATATTTGATAAGCGAATTGCTAATGCAACTGTAAGGTTGAAGTAAGATGTTAACTCTATGGCTGAATATAGATTAGATATACTAACATCTAATACGGATTGCATTGTGGGAATATCGGATAATATATCATATATAATAATAATAATAATAATAATAATAATAATAATAATAATAATAATAATAATAATAATAATAATAAAAGAGGATGTTGGGAATAATTATTTATCTAGCTAGTAAATGTGGTAGTTAAAGTGAGATAGACATAATGTACTGATCTGTATCTCCCATGTATTAAAGTTTTGGCCTTTGGGCAAGCTGTGGCTGCCATCCCCATTGTACCGGAGACAGCTAATAAGTAAAAGTTGTTATTCTTTCACAGTATATGTTTATATTTCTCTATTCTTTTGGTGTAAACAATGAGGTGTACGTTTCGAGTGTTTTTCTATCTGGATTATGATCGAGTTCATTGGGCTAATATCTTCTCTCTTTGAGAGGCATAGGAGCTGGTCCAGAGAAACCAGTCATTTGTGAAAATCAAATCCGGATTATCTCAAAATTTTTTTCCTACAAAAAGAACTTATTTGTCACTTAAGCTACCCATTGGGTTGTTTATATTTCTCTATATATGCGAAAACTATTCACTTTATTCACGTTTATGCGTGGTTTTCAGTGACGAATTGAAGTGCATTCATCAATTGCATTTCTCACATTATCGGTTATGGATTAGATGACACGAATCTCTTTTAGCTTATTCAAATGTAGTGTTTTGTCACCTTTTATATGATTCTACTCAACTCAAATAGGATTACTCTGAATGTATAGTCTTAAATGACTGAAGGGGTAACCGGCCACAATCAAATTGGTCAAATTGTTAATTTAATTGGTAACTACAATGTTTCAAGTTCAACTTTTAGTGGTAATTGCTTATTGGTCTTTATGATTTGAGCTAGTCAGCTATATATGGGTAACCTAAAATGGTTTACTTTATTGTGGTTCTATACCAGCTAAAGTTACAAGATAGTATTTACTCAATGAATATTTTTAGATAATAGTTGCAGGTTTTCTTCTTTTAACCAAAAATGTTAAACAATTATAGTGAATCCCACCATTATTAGAGTATTCGAAGTATCTTATATAATATTTGTGAAGACAAGCCCGAGTCAAATTAAGGTAGTGTAGTATGAACTATGAAGTATGGTTTCCACTAACGTTGGTAGATTCTTTGACGTCATTTTTAGCCTCTAAGTGAAATTTTTTATTCATGGAATGTTTTGAAAACATAAATTAAGCGTATATATATAAGAGTTGACCTAAAAAGTCTTGTAGTCAATCTAATAGGTAGTCCCCACCAAACACCACTAAAGACAATTCGCTTATTATATTGTTACTTTTACAAAGCACATTAATTAATTAACTACGACAGAATTCAGAAGTAAAATATTAGAATAATAGATCGACTAACATGTCACGTACTATACTGTGTTTTGTCGCTGGTCCAAATTAAATACGATTTAGCCTTCATTGTCCTAGCTTAATATTAGGAGCCTCTGATCTTTATATTATTTTTTCTCTTCCTAATTAAGTATCACCATTTAGGTTTTTTATTTTTATTATTATTATTATTATTATTATTATTATTATTATTATTTTATAATAAGGTAAAGTGTCTAGATAAGATAATTATATTATATTTTGAAATTAAATTATTAAAAATTTTATTTAAAGAGATTCAATAACCCTTTTAATTGCTAATGGTTTTGATCAAAATTTAATTTTTTTTTAAAAAAATAAATAACGCTTTCAACTCAAACGGTAAGTATATTGCTACATGTCGTTTGTAAAGTATTACGGTGCATGCATGAAGAGGACGATCAGGGATAACTCGAGTTCGATTCTCACAAGTGACAATTTCTCTTGGCCAGCTCTCATGCCTTTCGGAGCGAACGATGATTAGTCGGGTGGATCCAGATTGTAAAATGGATAAAGAAAGATTTGGAACACCTGGTAGTTTAGACTCAAAAAAAAAAAAAGAAAAAAAAAAAGAGAGAGAAGGTATTACCGTGCATGGATAATGCATTGATGTCCATATCATGCGATTCATATATATATTGTCAATCTAATGTAAACAAATTTAAAGCAGGTGATAGTACAACAAGTCACGTTAATTTGTTGCAAAATTAATTACGGCTAATAGTAAACTAAACTAGGGGTTTATTTTTGACATGTGAACACACACACACAATTTCTTTGGTCGAACTCATCAGATATAGTCTTATATAGTTTACTCTCCTGTATGATTTTTAGATTATTATACATAATTATAATTTTTCAAGTAGATATATACCTGGTAATTGTGAGTTTTTGTTGTCACCGGAAAAAAAAATGCCCAATAATGCATGCATTAGAATAGCAGGAGCTAGCACTAACAACAAAACGTCTACAAAACTACAACTACACTAAATGTTTAATATTCCAATTTATTAATAAGAAGAACAAATCCATTTCTGGATAGCTAGCTAGCAAGAAGATACAGGAGTGGAAATAGTGGTGCTTTCGGCCTTGATATTGGTTGCCTGGAGGGGGAATAGTTGCAGGGTTATGGGTGTTCTGTCCACCCAACGAGGAACACAAGATCTTGTTTCCATCAACATCATCCAATCACGGTCAAACATCCTCGTCGTCATGCTACTTCCAGCGTCGTCGCAGGATGATGTTGGAACACCCATGTTCACTATCTTCTCACCGCCGCCACCCTGCAGAAACAAGAATATATGATCCTTATAAGCGATATCGAGCCATAAATAGAAAATGATACCCCATCCACCACTTCATTTTATTGGATAAAGATTGTAACTCATTTTGCACTGCCCACACGAATAACTCAGTTGGTTCATAGGTGAATTGAAAGAATATAAACAAAGACACAGAATCTAGCCTTGACAGAAGCTGTTCGAGAGTTTTACCCTCTTAGCTTGTGGAGTGATTTCTTGTGAGCACCAGACACTAGTTCTTCTACCTAATAGGATAACTGTGGACATTAAACACTGGTCCTCTTACTTATTTCGCCTTATGCGGGCAAGAAATGAGAAAGTGGAAGTTAGGTGATGAAGTATTTACTCAAATGAAGCTACTATACTATACCTGATGAAGAAATGTAGAGAAACGAGGCGATAAGTGATCAGAGAAAGCGGAGCAAAAATCAAGGCTGCTGCGCCCATCCAGCAACTGATGATGACAACAATTCTGAACCTGGGCAGCAGAGTGCGCAGGTTGTTGGGGTTCTTCTTGTCGAGCAAACACCGGTCGATAACGCAGATGTTGCTTGATGAGCGTTTTCCTGAGCCTCTGCCTGTCCCTAGCTTTGTGGTTCTGGAACCAGTAAAACACGTTCTTGGTTTCGATCTTCCCGTACAGCGCCAAGTGGGAAGTTATGGTTCGGACCTGAAAACCATTGGGGTTTCTCAGTCCTCTCCGGTAAAGCTCCTGCAACACCATCAGTTGCTCCGGCGTCGGACTCCATCTCCGCGGCCGGCACGTCACTTCACCACCAACCATTCTCTTCTCTTTCCGGCCGGCCTGTTAGTTATTGTTATCTTAGCTTCGATCTTTTTCTTTAGTTTTGCTCTAATGGCGATGAATATTCTGGGTTTCCGTAGTAGGGTTTAAATAGATGGAAGGAAGAAAAAACGGTATCAGGCTGACGTATTTTGTTGGGTGATTATATTGGATGACACACGTATATAAACTGCCAGGGTCTTATGTAATAAGGGCATTCTTGTCCAGACTCTTATATGATAGGGATATTCTAGTCTTTTCTCCCTCATGGCAGTTATAACCGCTAGCTAGCTTGCATTTATATTCTCAGTTGTATCTCCTTCGTTGATAACAACCATCAGAATAATAAACCATTTCTTCCTTTCTTCTCTCTTCAATGTAATCCGTCATGGTATCAGAGCGCCAACACTCCTATGCCGCCGTCGTCACCGGCGCCGGCAGCACCAGTCAGGGAGGACAGACAGCTACGCCTCTCGTCCAATCACCGATTCAAACAACTCCTGAAGTGATTCCGCAGAGGAGTCCATCGTCTCGAGCTCGGAGGAATTTCAATACGGAGGATCTGGAGAATCCTCTGTTTCTCAGCGCAAATGACAGTCCGTCTCTCGTCCTTGTGAGTCCGCCGCTAACAGGCAGCTCGAATTACGGCACATGGAGCATTTCGATGCGGATAGCGCTCGAAGTCAAAAATAAGTGGACCTTGGTGGACGGGAGCACCAAGCCGCCGAGCAGGGAGCAAGCTCAGTATGCCGCATGGAGGCGGTGCAATCTCATGGTCTGTGCGTGGATCTTCAAGTCCGTCCACGCATCCATAGCACAGAGTATTATGCACCTCGACAGGGCTGATGATGTCTGGGAGGATCTGAGAAGAAGGTTCTCGCAGAGGGACGCACAACGCATATCGATTTTGCAAAGTGAGATTCACAATCTACGGCAAGGTTCGCTCTCTGTTAACGAGTACTACACAAAATGCAGAACTCTATGGGAGGAAATGAACACCTTAAGGCCAATTCCTCTGTGTAAGTGCACTCCTAGATGTTCCTGTGATCTGGTTGAAACCATCCGGAAGGAAAAAGAGATTGATCAGGTAATCTTATTTTTGCAAGGCTTGAATGAGGACTATAACAACCTGAAATCGACTGTTCTAGTGTTAGATCCTCTACCTGAGGTCTATAAGGTGTTTGTGATGTCTGAAAAACTAGAGAGGCAGATTATGACATCTCATTTGAATCTAGGAAGCCTGGATATAAAGCAATCTAATGCTGTTCAAACATGCATGAATGAAGATACTGTTGCTGCTTTGAATTTCTATAATGGCAGGAAAAATAACAATGTGAAAGCCAAGTGTACCTACTGTGGTATGAACGGACACACAATTGATAGATGCTACAAGAAACACGGGTATCCACCCGGCTGGGTGCAAGGTTTTAAATCAAAAGGGAAGCAACAAGGAACAGCTGCATCTGTCAACACTCCTGATGATCTGGGAATGTCTCCTGAACAATTGCACAAACTAATCTCATTCCTTCAGACACAGCCGGGTCAAACATCTGGATCTTACAGTTCAAATAGCACTCCTAGCACTCCTGGATCACATGTCACAGCTACAACTGCCCTGATCCCAAAGTTTGATAAATCTCATAATCCTGAAGAAGGCAAGTTCTCTGTATGTTCATCAGTTTTAAATTCATGTACCTGGATTCTCGATTCAGGGGCCACAAATCACATTGTGTGTTCCCTTGGTTCCTTAGTTAATCATCACACGGTTAACAATGTTGAAGTCAATCTCCCTACGGGGCAGTCCATTACAGTTGAAAATGTAGGTGATGCTAGACTGTTCAATGGAAATCTATGGTTGAAAGAGGCATTACATATTCCTTCTTTCAAATTTAATATTGTATCTGTGAGCAAGTTAATTCAAGATGATGATTATAAGCTAACCTTCATGTCAAAGCAGTGCATGATTCAAGGGAGTCATGGCCAGATAATTGGTTTAGCTAGAGAAGAAAAGGGGCTCTATCTAATGAAGGAACCACAACAGGAGCAGAATGGACAGTTTGTTTTGCAGTGCAGTAAGTCTGAGGTCTGGCATCGAAGGCTGGGACATTTCCCAATCAACAAGTTACATCTCATTTGTGATATTGATGTTACTAAGAACAATAATAGCAAGGCTTGTGATGTATGTCATTTGGCTAAACACAAGCGTTCCCCCTTCCCAATAAGTGTTACTAGTTCACATTCCTGCTTTGAATTAATACACATTGATATTTGGGGGCCTTTCCCGGTTTGCTCCTTGAAAGGGGAATACTATTTTCTTACTGTTGTTGATGATTATTCAAGATTTACATGGCTTCATTTGATGAAAACCAAAGCTGAAACAAGGTCACTCGTAAAAAGGTTTCATGCTTATGTTCTTACCCAGTTTGGGATTTTGATTAAAACCATTCGCAGTGATAATGGTTCTGAATCCAAGATGGATGATTTCTTCCTTGATAATGGTATTGTCCATCAGCGCTCTTGCGTTAATACCCCACAGCAAAATGCAATAGTTGAGCGTAAGCATCAACACATTTTAAACGTTGCTAGATCTCTTCGTTTTCAAGCCTGCCTTCCTCTAGAATTTTGGGGACATTGTGTCATGCATGCGGTATTCATCATAAACAGGCTTCCCTCTCCTATTATTGATCTCTCTAGTCCCTATGAAAGGCTATATGGAAGAGCTCCAGACATCAATAACCTAAAAGTTTTTGGTTGCTTATGCTATGCAGCAACTCTGTCAAATGCAAGAAATAAGATGGCACCAAGAGGAAGGAGATGCATGTTCATCGGTGTTCCAGCTGGGATTAAAGGCCATATGCTATATGATTTAGAAGATGGCTCGACATTTATATCACGAGATGTTACATTCTATGAATCTCAGTTTCCAATGGCAGTGAAGGACTGTTCCAAACATATTAAGTCTCTTACTGAACCTCCTTTACCTAACATCCCTATTTCTATGGACCAGGTGGTACTTGATCATTCTCCAGTTCACTCTGGACACAGAAGCCAAACTCACAGCCTAGCAGAAGGCAGCATACCGTCATCACAAGAGGTTGATGATAACCAGCCTCATATTTCTGAAAGGGAGCTCCATAATGATCATGCAGAACACACCCAAGACTCTGTGGAGTTTGCCTTGCCATTAGAAGACGAAGATAATCCCAGTGATAATAGAAGCGTCCAGAATCAGCCCCGACGCTCCAATAGAAGCCGGATAATTCCAAATAAGCTGCTCGATTATTACTGTGATACTGTGAGCAGAAAGGGGTCATCTCCTCACTTGTTAACCAAGGTCATCTCTTATGATCATCTTTCCACTCCTCACATGAAGTTCGCCATGGCAGTCAGTGCTCTTAATGAGCCATGCTCCTACAAACAAGCTATAGAACATGACTGCTGGAAAAATGCAATGGCAGCAGAAATAAAGGCTTTACAGGACAACAAGACATGGACCATTGTTGATCTTCCACCCGGAAAAGTGCCAATAGGTTGTAAATGGGTATTCAAGACAAAACTGAGGGCGGATGGTACTGTGGAACGACATAAAGCTAGGCTAGTAGCCAAAGGCTACACCCAACAATTGGGAGTGGATTACATTGACACTTTCTCCCCAGTTGCTAGAATCACCACCATTCGCACTCTTCTGGCTGTGGCTTCATCTCTGTCTTGGCACACTCATCAACTTGACGTGAATAACGCATTCCTCCACGGGGATTTAGACGAAGAAGTCTACATGGTTCTACCTCCAGGCTTTCAAGGGCAGAAACCGGGTCAAGTGTGCAAGCTTTTGCGATCCCTCTACGGCTTGAAACAAGCCAGCAGGCAGTGGAACTCCAAGTTAAGTACTGCTCTTATTCGCAAAGGCTTTACACAATCTCAGTCTGACCCCTCTTTATTCATCAAAGGCAGTGGCACATCTTTTATTGCTCTACTGATATATGTAGACGACATTCTAATAACTAGTCCGAATTTGCCTCTCATCCAAGAATTCAAGTCTGCTTTGAATGATATCTTTCGAATCAAAGATCTGGGCTCCTTGGGGTATTTTCTGGGAATTGAGGCAAGAATTGATGACTCCGGTTTAAATCTCTGCCAGCGTAAATATGCACTGGATATATTGGCAGAAGCAGGCTTCCTCGACTGTAAGCCAGCTGACACTCCCCTTGTTCCTGGACATCATCTAAGCAGAGACAGAGGAACTCCTCTTGATGATATCTCTAGTTACAGACGGTTGGTAGGCCGATTGCTTTATCTTACTGCAACAAGACCTGACATCGCATATGCCACTCAACAACTCAGTCAGTTCATAGATACCCCAACCACTGAACACATGATGGCAGCTCACAGGGTCCTTCGTTACATCAAGAAAGCTCCCGGCCAAGGATTATTCTATCCCAAACACAATGATTTGCAGTTGAATGTATTCTCCGATTCCGATTGGGCAGCCTGCACTGAAACTCGACGGTCCATTACTGGCTTCTGTGTGTTTTTGGGATCTGCCTTAATATCGTGGAAGTCGAAGAAACAAGTGACAGTTTCTCGCTCATCCTCCGAGGCCGAATATCGTGCCCTTGCTACTACTGCATGCGAACTTCAATGGATCACTTCTTTGATCCGTGAATTGCAAGTTCAAATGGACAAACCAGCAGCCTTGTTCTGTGATAGCAAGTCCGCCATCGCCATAGCCGAGAATCCCGTCTTCCACGAACGAACAAAACACATTGACATTGATTGTCATATTGTTCGAGAAAGGCTCAACCAAGGTCTATTCAAACTTTTGCCCGTATCCACTTCTGCACAAACAACTGATGGCTTCACTAAAGCTCTTCCCACTTCAGCCTTTCAGCAATTCACATCTAAACTGGGCATTCAAGATCTCCATGCCCCAGTTTACGGGGGGGTATTGGATGACACACGTATATAAACTGCCAGGGTCTTATGTAATAAGGGCATTCTTG